AGTTTATACCAAACCTACATTACATTTAGTACAAGAATATGTTAATAGATACCTAATATAATTAAAATCATTGTTAAATTGGTTAGCTTACTAACTGAAGAATCGAAATAATATTGTTATAGTTGTTAGTCTTAAATAAATATAAAACAATTATTTCTTATATATATCATATATAATAATATGTAAGAGAACAGCAGTTCCAAGCGCACAATAAATGATGCATTTGAACAGATTGTGAATACAAGCAATAATTTGTTTAAAGCAGAAATCTTATTATAGAAATTTAATATACTAGGTTGTTATATAACACATACTTCATTGTTTTCCGACCATATATTTTCATTGGTACTCATCATCGCTGGCATACTTTGTGATTCCATAGAGGTTGAGGCTGTTGGTATTTGAAAAACGGTATTTCCAACATGTTCGGTTTGAGGAGGTTTGTGGTTCAGCAGAAGATGTGAGTAATGTTCCTTTGTTGGCCAATACATCTCAAAATTAGATTCTGGATTAAAATACTTCTTGATATCATCAAGATTAACCATTGTACAAGATTCACTTTCAACAAACTCATTCAATGTACCTTGGATTAGACAACAAAACTTGAGATAGGCCAAGTTAAATTTTTCTATTGTTATTGATACATTCAATAATTGTTCAGTATTCCCATCAAAGTATATTAATGGAACAAATTTTTGATTATTAATATTTATGTATGGTACAACGAATCCAAAATCTATTCGAATAAAACCGAATTTGTCATAAATCTTTTCTTGTTCGCTCATTAATGTCTTATAACATACTTCTAAGAATGTATACAATTCATAAACATCTTCTAACTGGATCATCAAATCTTTTCCAGTAATGAACMWTWTWTTTTTAAACACACAATTAGCATGGTCATAGTTGATACTATTTAATAAATTTGCTTCTACATCTGTTATGGAACAGCTTCTCAGTGATGTGCAAAATTTATAAATATCTGGATGTARATTATCCAAGTAATTGCTCAGTAGATTCATTTCAATCATTCTAAGGGAGGAGAACTTTACATGTAAACCATTTATTAAACGTATAATACACGGTAAAGTACATCTGTCAGCTAATGTCCAACAAAATCTTCCTGTATTGTACAAAAGAACATAAAATATAAAATATCTTTGTAAGAAAATTTAAAACATAAATTATTTTATGATTACTTTCTTACCTTTGATGCTTTCAATGTCTTCTGGGTATTTAGGTAATTGTTGTTGATTCTTCTCTTTCAGTTTAATAGCCATTGATTCGATTTCAGCATTTTCGCCATCATTTATCACTGTAATATAATTATATAATTATGCTTTAATATAGATAATTGAATTATAGGTAATATAAATAATTAAAATTCCAATGACGGCTTTTCACCATTTAAAAAAAAAATTGTAAACACATTTGCTCAAATCTATTTCTTTTGAAAATTAATAAATTATTTGTTCAATTATAATTTGCAAATTTTACCTGCGCAGTGCGCAGATCCATGGTTTTTAGTTTTAACCGTTTGTAATTTAGTTTGTGAGTTGTATCTGATTTTTTAGTTATTAAACAATTTTTTTGTCTAAATCAAATGAATATTACTACAAAATACAGAATATGGACAKATATAATATTATACATTTATGCTATCTTATTGTCCTTGTTCTATGTATAAATTGACAATCGTACTGTACGATGTACAAATTGTACACGTCGTGTCTACGTACAGGATTTAGTAACCATCTCGTTTTCGTCCGTCACTAATAACGACTTAAAAATTGATAATTATTTTACATTTTTMTTATTTATTAATAAGTAAAAAATCACTAAAATGAACGCTGATGAATGAAAAGGTAACCAAAATTACGGGGTTATCTAATTTATATTATATTTTATTATATTTGTCCAATGTTTTTTTGTTTTTTTTGATTTCATTTATAAACTTTTTTCATATAATAATATAATTAACTAATACAATTGTGATAAAAATTTTAAATGTAATTGGTAATTGTAAGTAATTCAATTATATAATTTGTAATTTGTAATTTAATGTTCTTCATTCATGTAATTAGTAATTTGTAATTAATTACTGGTATTTTGAGTAATTTGTAAATTACGTGTACGGAGTTGATGAAATTGTATAGCCTCTAACCAAGGTACTTGCGACGTGCCTATACTCCCCGTGTCCCGTACCTGTATTCCGACCAAAGGTCGTCGGTCGCGTAAAATACAAAATAATAGAATCGTATGATTTAATATGGGATAATTATAATTTTATATTATATTGTAGTACTAAATAATCTACAATTAAGAACATATTGTGTTTTTATATAAAAATCTCGGAATCTTATAATATTAGTACTAAAAACTAACCTCGTAGAGTATTTGTATTTTTAAATTCATCTATCACCGCCATATATGTATCAGGGGTATTATCATGAAGACTCGAACGATTCAATTGTGAATTTGATGGCCCAGCTGTCATATTTTGAGAAAACATTTGAGAACCTATTTTAATCTTTTTAGGCTTCTCATTATGAATTTTTTCATGATCCAATAAACTGCTTTTAAATCCGAAGGATGAAGGACACTTTCCACATTGAAACATATTATTGTTAATGCTTAAGAGAAAATGAAAGAGAAAATAATATAACAAGATTATATAAGAATAAACTTACTAGGTATAATAAACACTGAAAATAAAATTCACTATAAAAATTAAACGATGGATCTAGCTACAAAAGACAAGTACTCAAATAGGGAACTGGATACACACTGAATGGCTGAACGGCTCATTCAATCAGGAATCCCTTGAATTGATACATTATAGGTAGTGGCAGGAAGAGTGGTGGGAGGTATGCAGTATGAGAGACACTGAGACATTTCAAAACTGTTCATTTATTACAGTGGTTCTAAATCTTGTTTAGTTGTTTATTTCGTGTCGTCCTTATTCACTGCTTTGTCAGCATAATATCAATATATTAAAATGAATTGTTTAACTGTAAGCAATTAATTAATATAATAAGAAAATATCTCCTGATTCTTATTAAGATTTTTTTTCAAAAAAATTGTAACACTAATATTTTATATCCCGATGAATTTTTCATTAAAACTATTTACACTTGTAAGACGTGGTACGCACTTTATATTTTAGTAGTCCATGGAATYTGGATGGTGAAAAAACATATTTTCATAATTATTTTCCCATGTTTATAGTTTCTATATAAGTATAGATTACGATGAATAGGTAGTATACAATTTATCATCTTTTATAAATTCTATTAATACATTATAAAATAAAATGTTGATAACAGAAAATACATAGCTGAATAGTTCTTATTTAATTCGTATTCAACAATATTGTACATATTTCCCTAGTAGGTTTTGAATTTTATATTTGTGTTTATTATTTAATCATCGTTATTAGTTATTATAATTTCGTTCTTCGGAATCGGAATAGTGACAATTAATTTGTGTGTAAAGTTTTTGCTCACAACTATCGGATTATCGTTGATTTTCATGATTCTTTTAATAAAAATGAACTAGAAAAGGAAGCATAAAGGAGGAGCTAACAAATTCCGAGAAAACAAAAAATAATGCTATTGATTGAAGCTGGAAAATGTCGAAGAATTACCAACATGTTCAATTTTACAGTAGGTAAGTTACTAATTATTTTAATTCTTAGCGAATGTCGCTACATAATAGTTTAACTGGATTATTAAATAAATATAATATCAAATATCAAATAATTGACTCAATATATCAAACTATGCCTTACAGTAAATAATAAAATAATTGCAATTTAATTTATAATTTATTAAAATACAGACTAAAGCAAATTTAAATTTAAATAATGCATAATATTTGTAGATATTCCAGAATAAGTATTTATATTTTTAATAACTAGTTCATTAATTTTCTAATAAACTAAGGTGATAACTTAGAATTCATGTTAAGTACTTGTATCTAAAACTTTACTTATTACAGAACTAGTTAAATCACTATATAGCTAGCGAGTAACAAGAAGAAATAAGATGAAAGATAAATAATATATTATTATTGTATCAAAAATATTGAAAGTTGTACTAGGTATCACTTTAAGTTTATGTGTAACTTAGGTTGTATACTGGTATCTAAATATGTAGGTATTAAATAACTTATTTTTAATTGAGTTAAGTTCATACTTTTTTTCATATTAACTAAACTTTTAGATTTATTTAAGGTACCTACCTATTACTTATTAGAGTATCGTTTATTTACTATTAAGTTATATCTAGCTTAACATTCTGGTTAAACTTAACAAACAATTATTAAAGTTAATTTGTTTCATTTTACCTTTGCATTTATTTACTTACTATACAATTTTTTTGTATCATCTAAATGATGTTATTATTCATAAATCTAGTATTTAGATAAATTTATTTTCCTAGTGTAGACCCAATATCAAAATATTAGTTTACAATTATTTTTATAAAACTCATTTATATATATTATATAGTTATTATAGAGTTCAGTTATATTATAATATATAATTTATTGCACATTAATACATTATTATATAAAATATAAATTATTATAATTACCTATAAAAAAATTAAAATTAATGTATACAGATTAACTGTTAAATATATATMTAATATAAAAAATCTATAATAAATCTAGTAAAAATCGGGCGAAAAATACTGTTTAAAAATATCAAATTGAATTAATCAATAAATATATAAAATAAATAAAATAAAATAAAATAAATATATAATTGTTATTATTAGCCTAAAATAATATGCTATTTTATTCAGGAGACTTGTGACAATACAATTATGCATGAAGGCAGTTCAATTATTAATCCAATTGATCAAATAGTTGGTTGTCAACATACTTTAAGTGTTGAGGAACTAGAAACTCATGATATATTTGATTCACTGGAAAATGATCCAGCTAATTATATACAGATTTAGAAATGAACGCCGGAGTTGAAAAACTTGATTTTAATGCGTGGTGCTTATCAACTTAATGAAAATGAATTACCTAAAGGTGAATATCTTAAACATCCTAACAATAAACAAAGTTATCATTCATTGTGGTATTTTAGAAAATTAGTAGATATGACATACATTAAGCGGGACTGTCTCACCTATTCACTAAAATTGAACAAAGTGTTCTGTCTTTATTGTAACTTATATAGAAATAGTGAAAATAGTTCATGGAAAACATATGGTTATAGTTATTGGAAAAATGGTTTAATGACAATAGTGAAACATGAAACTTCATCAACACATGTAATGTCTTCTTTAAAAATTAAACTTAAAGAAAGTTGCTTACCTCTTATACCATCGATCATTGAAGAAAGAAATTGTCAAGTTGCATTCAATCGAGAAATAGTCAAACAATTAATTGAAATAATTATATCCTTAGCAAGGCATTATCTTTCTTTTCTTGGTTACCAAGAGGGCTGGGAAAGTGATATAAAAGGTAATTTTAAAGACATAGTCATCTTGTTGGCTCAACATTTATCAGTGTTATCAGTGCATAACAATAAATTAAGGTCTAAAGGAAGAAAAGAAAGTTTTTTTATAACATGGGATAGACAACATTTATTGATTGAATCGATTGCCGAATACCTATATGTTAAGTGTAATAAAAACACAAATAATGTCTGCTCAGTGTTTTAGTATTTGTATAGATTCAACTTTCGATTTATCCCATAAAGAACAGCCATCTTTTATTGTGCGATACTTATTTTATGATAACATTCATAAAATACTTCTAGCATTGACTGAATCTCCTTGTACTACTGCCAAAGCACTTTTTAATTGATTTAAATTAGTGATGGAAAAATCTAATTTAGATTGGAAAAATAAACTTGTTATACAATCATACGATGGGGCTGCAAATATGAGAGGTTAGGTTAGAATATGTGAATGGATTAATTATAATATATATCTCTTTTAAATTATTCTACAGTTTTCAATAGAATTATTTTGTAACAATAACTGCTTATTAAATATTTAAAACTAAAAATTATGTAATAAAAATATAACTTTGGTCTTTAAGTACTAATAACCACAGTTTCCTAATTTCTCCTTAAAAATATATATTAATTAAAATATATATATATATATATATAGATTTTGTATAGATTAGATTATATAAATATATATTATATACATTTATTAGTTTTATGAAGGAGGGGCAGTACTGTACGGTTAAGCTTCCATGGCTTATAAATCATGCAATTTTTAACGAAATTAAATTTTTTGAACTGGTATATATAGAAAAACGTATGGTCTATAACTTTTATTTGAAACTTTTTTATATTTTTTTTTTTTAATTTGTTTGATTTGCGTTTTATTTTTTTTGAGAAAAATACAGATTTACCCCAGATGCGGGGTAAATCCGTATGTACTCTAGGGCAAAATCGTAAGACGATAATTGTAATACCATTAGTTCATTATATTTATTGGTAAATTATTAATTGGTATTGGACTTTTATTTAATTAACTTGTAAAGTTTAACTAAAATTAGGCTGTAGGTAGTAAGTTATGTTTGATTTCATTTTCATTAATTAAAAATGTACCTAAACATTGTTTTCAATTTATCAAAATGTCAACAAATTAATAACACAACACAATATGCGATAAAACCTACTCCCATTGGCAGTAGTACAACAAATACAACTTACCTAAGTAACTATGTAGTTATTATATAGTGTATACGATTTTGCCCTACAAGACTATTAAAAATTATCGAGCTTCATATCAAACATTAAATTAATATATTAATGTATTTATGCTACACATGTAAATTACACTTAATTAGCTATTGAATAATAAATATGGCATACCTGAACAATTTTTTCGCATATAAAAATTCACTCTTTGAAATTTTGATGATATTTTAGTAATTGAATGTAAAAATATAAAACGTATTTATTTTGAAAAAGGTGATATCATAATACGTGTACTATCATATTCAATAAATAAACAAATAAAACGTTTCAAATCGCTGTATTCAGTTTACTTCCATGATAACAATTATTGATAATATTCCGATAATACGATTTTGCCCCGCATACGGTAATACCGGGCGTTTTCCCCTACAAATACAATACTTGCCGTGTACATAACATTTAATAGTTGTCGTATACGCCGATCACCGACGTACACAAATAAACGAACAAATTACTTATAARCACTTTTATTAAACACTTTGACGTCTAGWGGCGATCGAGTCACACGATCACCACCTGGCTCTGACACTGGTGGTCAGTGGTAATCGAGTCACACGACTACCGCCAACTGACCCCTTTTCTGTCTTCACATATTCCTTAAATATACATTTTACAATCGAAAATTCGAAACACTATCGGTAATATCGATATTAAGTTCAATCTAGTTACACTATACTTACTGATCATGCTTAAAATTATACTATTTTTTTTTTTTATAACCGTTATTGTATTACGCCATTTAGCCATTACATAATTGTTTTGTTATTTTACCTAGTTAATAGTTCTAATTATAATATTTCTTATATATTATGCATGATACAACATAGTAGTATAATAGAATTATACTGAAGAGTACCAATATCTTAGTACCTATAAAAATAAATTAAAACTATTCCAAATTGGTGCGTAATAGATTTATTATTATTATTTTTTATCATTTGAGGCCAAATACATTTGTTGTGGCCGTTGTATTTTGATTTCGCCTGACCACTATTGTTAAAGTTCGGCGCCACTGATAGGTACAATAAATAATACGCTATTTACGGGAAATATATAGAAACTTATTGAATTAGGTACACAATTGGCGCTAATTTCTGTTCGTTAAATTAGCTCTCTAAAACGGAATGTAAAAGGTTGTACTTAAGTATATACTTTAAGACTATATTTGTATTATGTATATGTATATAATATATTATAAATAATCTATTTTATTCTATTTTTTAGCAAATACCAGAATTTGTCCGTTTGGCTCACATAAAAAATTGGTTTTCAATAAGTCCATGTCAAATTCGTTGAGTTTCTTAACATAATATGTGAATAACCCCGAAATCCTTTTTTATTGATAATACACGTAACATGTCTTACAGCAGCGTTTCCCAAACCGAAATTTTTTTGATGGGTCGCGACTCGTGGTTACGATTACAGCTATTTTAGTCGTAAATTGATAAATAGTATAAATAACTAGTATTGTAGAATAAATAACTTAAAGTTATTACAATTCTGGAATTTTTTTATCTTATCGGTAAATGTGCTAATGACTAGTGACTAGTCGATACGATCGGTCTCGGTCGTTTGTCCATAATCCATAATATTATGCAGTTGAGCAACAAGCGGTACAAAATGCGGTATTTTATAAAATATTCAATGATAAAATGAATTATAGTAAAAATCTTATTTAATTACGGCATACTATTTTTTTAGGGGGGGGGGGGGTCGCGTACCTAATAAAGATTAAATTTATGGGACACCATTGCAAAAAGGTTGGGGAACGCTGTCTTACAGTATAGTAATATTATAACCTCCTAAATTCAGTAAGATACGTGATATCTGAGAGAATTTGGACATGAAGCTTTTCTGACTTTGGGGACGTGCTTGGTATCATAATATTATATAATATTATGTATACCAAAATAGCATTTTATAAAGTCAAGTTACTGCGAAGAATTATTGTTTCCAAATATGCTACAGTTTCAGAAATATATAGCCATGAGTCATCTATATAATAAAACGTTTCCTAATTGACTAACTGATTATGTAATAAACTATAATAGTTAGGGACTTGACATTTTGAATGTACATTTTTTCACTATGAAGTAGTGCACCAAGAAATGATTTTTCAAAATTCTCAATTTAAAGAGGTGCTCACATAGTCACATACAAAGAGATTCGAAGAGGAAAATGATATTGTTTTAATGGCCAAATGTAAACTCCTACACGAATAACCTTTTTACCTGTATCATCATTAAATGTAAACTCCTACACTAATAACCTTTTAAAATTTTTACCTGGAAATCAAAGATATTGTAATCCCCTACATAGAAATTTTTATTTTAAACGTAGGTATGTGATTATTACTATTGTTTTATTATATTTTTCAAACCATTTTTGTTTTATGTGTTAATATATTGCAAGACTGATATTTTTGTAGGAGTTAACACTATCTTTTATAGGAGATTACACTACATTTGTAAGAGTTTACCATTCCCTGTTTTAATATAAATGGTAGCCTTTGGTTAAAGATTATAAAAAAATAATTACCTACAGGTAGTAGAAACCAGTATTTTATTACTATTATTATTATTATTATTATTTCAATCTGTATATTATTTGATATATTTTATTCACTTAAGTTTTAATACATATATTAAATCATAACCACATATTTGTTTATTCTGCTAACAATTGGTTATCTATACGGAAAAATTACTTTTTACTGTCTTCCAATTTAAAAATTAAATTTTTTCTTTGAACTTTTTGGACACCATTGCAATGAATGTTTTACAACGAATTGAATATAATTAGTTTATAATTTTAAATAAAATAGTTTGAATCATAAAAATATTGAATTTTACGTTCACAGAAGTGCATTAGGACTAGTACTATACCTATAATTATATAAGAAGTAACTAGTATGTATAATTTCTAACATAAAGAAAGCAATTCAAGACGATTGCAAATTTCTTCGATTGTATATTTTTTGTTGGTATGTAAATTTTGCCAAGTACGGTTTTATTAACAGTGAGAAATGTGGCAACTCCTATATGGTACTAACTTTTGGTCTACATACAAATTAAAAACATCGTAAACTCGTATAATTAAACTTTATTATAATTATTATAATCATAATCATTTTCTTTTATAATGTATAGCTAAAATACGTTCATTGTCATAGGACATTATAGACTATTACATTAATTGATCAAATATTTAATGTTTTTGATCATTATCGTGCAGTAAAATTATGTTAGTAATACCTMGGTACTTACGTATTTTGTGGAGATGACTCTTAAAAAGCATATAAAGCATGATACTCTACGTATTTTTTAAACAGAAAATAATCATAGTTACCAAGCTAATTTATTTAAAATTATTAATTTTTWATTGGTAATCAATAAATGATTACCTATATATGTATATTTTAGTATAATATTAAAGAGACTTATGACGCGAAGCAATTTCATATATTTTAATAAATAAATGGTTAAAATAAAACCATTTTCGGTAAAATTACATCATTTATGTAAATTATAACTTAGTAAATAATTCTATGACATAACAACTATGTAATGCCTACAATTTAACGAGAAAGACGTAGGAAGGGGGTTATGGGGATTGCTGTTCCACCCAGAATTTTAGAAAAATTTTACGATAGTTTCAGGGTTTGTAATCGTWTTGTGTAAGACGTAACTATGTCTTAAAATATTATGATTTGTATAAAGGTAGTGTAAATGTCTAAAATGTTATGATTATGGAATCAACATATTAAACTGATTAGATATCCTAGGGCTGCAACACGATTGCTCACTTTTTTCTTTTCTTACCCGACTAATTATACCATGATTGCCTACCAAATGATATGTGTATATAATATAATATATATTATGTATAAAATTTTAGGTACAGCATAAAATAATGTATACGATAAATATTTTTTATAATTTTCATATACATGCATTCAAACTTATTATCTAAAATTCACAAATTTTCCTTCCCAATTATTACAGGCTTAGGATTGCCAATAAATTATTATCGTTGACTTGGTTAAAAATTGTTTTTTTTTCTAAATTAAACGTATGCTAAATGTATATAGTTATAGTTGTGTTCATATAAAACTAATGGTGATATAATAATAATAATAGTTAAATAATCGTAATAATAAATATTTTCTTATATTTAATTGTTTTTAAAAATCACACATCTAGCGACTAGTACAAAAACGCGGTCCCATTGCTTGCAATTAGTCGTTCAATGATAATTTATTATTTTTAAATTGTTCCCAAGCATCCAATATCCATTATAAACTCAATGTTGTTTTCATGCTCTTTTCGTAATTTACCTTTTTCATTATGTTTAACATTATTTATTTTTAAATAAGTTTCAGTTTGAATACCTAATAATATGTTTATTACTCGGAAAGTAGATGGATGCGGTGTATAAAACTGCGAATTATAGTGCACATGAAAAGATTCTGGACCATTTATAGTTCTAACTTCTTCTGATGGGTTTTCTGTCCATAAAGTTGGTGGAAATTGTGCATCGGTTTCTACATAATTTATATGTATATAATCTAAAAATMCAAAATTAGATGTAGGAGCGTATGTATTGTATACATTATTTTATGTTGTACATAGTATATACATATCATTTGGTGCGCAATCGTGTCACAGCGATATCCTAGTGATAAGGTATCCATAATATAAAATGATTTACCATGTCAGTCCTCTGCCTCCCTCCAAAGCAAAATTCTGGTAATATCACTGCTGCGAAAATTTAAGTATCCAAATAYATAATAATTTTTACAATTATGTAATGGCAACAAAATATTTAAAAATTAAAAAAAAAAAATATTAAACAATGTTAAAATGGTTTTTAATTTTCTAATTAATAATAATATCATAATATTAGACGTCGTTAGGTTATATTATACATCATGATGGTAGTATTATACAATTTTTGTTCGAGTTTTGTAGATTCAATTCGAATACAATATAATTTTTATCGAGAATCCATTGTACTTTATGTATAGAAAAAAACACATTCTTGTAACCAATGTATTTTTTTCTGCATCCCCCTGTCACTGTGTGGGGTTTCATGTCTTTTTTATCGCGTTCTTAATCTAAAACGGGTTTTACATTTTAGGAACATATATATATATATATATATATATTGTACATTATATTTACCTCGTGGATATATAGATTATAGATACATCAAACAATTTGCATTTAGGTCGGTCTACATAACATAATATATCCGSAGTTAAACTGTCAATGAAACATAATACATTTCAGWATAAACTATAATCGTCGACAGCCTRTGCATTTGACGGGTAGGACGTGTGGCTTTCTTATACGCCGTCATAGAAAAGGTAATGTTGGAAAAGGTCTCTGTCACCAAGGAGAAATCTACTTCTCAGGTGAGTAAAGAAACCTTTTGATCAGGCCGCCTGCCTCTCTCTGGTCAGCAGTTTTAGTTAGGATAAAATATTTTTTGGGTAAATTACGATTGTGATGATCTTGGATATTGTATACAGTATTTAATATGGCTCGTATACGACGTCGTTAACGAAAATCACTTTATAAATTCATGGTGGTATTTTTCCGAACAGCTTTTTTAAATAAATTTCTCAATTATCATGAAATTATTAATGAGTTAGTAATTACTACGATCCGGAATGATTTCAATACCTAAGGGTCAATATATATGTATATAATTGAAGTCGTTGGCGTTCCAATAGATATTTAATTTCCGTACAAGAATACCGTACATATTTTAGGGCGCATGCAATATCAAATTACTTAGTAGGTACCAATACAAAATGAAATTTAATCTTATTATAAAACTCCTAACTTCTAATTACCGTCGCGTCTCCATGGGTGTGTTACCAGTCAACTATATACGACCGTCTAGACGGATACTTAATATATAATTTATTTGCTCGGATAAAGTACTAAGGAGCAAAATAACAGAGATAATAGCAAACCTGAAACTCACGAATATTAATCACAAACGTTATTTTTGACAGCTTATATCACGTCGTTATTTGTACCTATTAGACTGTATTTTAGGCTATTGTCTGTTTCTAAAATAACTATACACCTACATACTTCTGTTTTCCAAAAGATATGAAGACAACTACAGTAATGATAATCATAATTACATTGAACACTGGTTACTGGTTAGGTTTTGTGTTTCCCATAAGTTGATAAAATAGCAGTTGAAAAACATTAAAAGTACATAGCCAAGTATTTTTCATAATCATTTAAAATTAAAATTTCAACAAAATTTACAAGTTCTTTAATTGTTAAAACTTTATAATGCGTTTAACTTGTCTAGCTAAGGATTTAAAATTTAAAACAAAGTTTCACATGACTAGATAATTTTGTGACAAAAAAAAATCTTAAAACTATGC